TGGATGAATGGATGGATAGTTGGATAGATGGATACATAACAGTCACAGGTGGATGTTTGGATGGATGGATGGATGGATGATGGATGGATGGATGGATGGATGGATGGATGGATGGATGGATGGATGGATGGATGGATGGATTGATTGATTGATTGATGGAATGATACATACGAGTCACGGGGGGATAGATGGAGGGATGGATGGATGGTTGAAAAGATGGATACATAACAGTTACGGGTGGATGTTTGGATGGATGGATGGATGGATGGATGGATGGATGGATGTTTGGATGGATGGATGTTTGGATGGATAGATGGATGAATGGATGGATGGATGGATGGATGTGAAGAATCTTGAACATTCTGGAATATGTACATTCTTTTTAAAATGATACAAAGACTAAATGGAATTAGTTTTGTATGTTTGACAGAACTGTACCTAAATGTGTGGTGAACTGCATGGGAGAAAAAAATTGTCATTTCTGTACTCAAACAAAACATCCCAGTCTGTCTGAAATGTCACTGTTTGAGATTCATCGCACCTAAATATTCAGCAGCTTTTGTTTTTCCCCCTAATATTATTGTAATACCATGTTCCACAAATCGGCTTCGCACTGTCAACTCGTCTCTGACTTGAATCCCAACAAACCCTGCCTTTCATGCACTGCTCCGGTGGGGAACAGATCTGTGAATAGGACAGCGACAAAGCTTTCTCTTTTTTTCCATGGGAATGCTTCCCATTGATGTGAATATCCCATCCCCAAAGGCCTGGAACTAATCTCACTAACGAGTTCACTAAGGCCACCTTCTGCCAGTGATCAGAATCACAAACACCCACCGAAAAACAAAAAAAAACACAGCAGCCAAATGTAATTCCAACTCCGACACTCTCACCATAACAGCTAATGAGCAAGACACGTAATCACGTCTATCTGTGTAAATGTGGGCTCGTGAAAAATTGTCATCCCATAATGCCTGACCTTAGACACTCAGTGACCCGAAAGCAAAGTATGCTGGCCAAATTTTGAGTCCGGGGAGTTGAAATTCCACTCGCACGCTTCCCTATGGGCATGGAGGCGTCGCAATGTGGAGGAATTTGAATGTAAATGCCTCTAGAGAGAGGAGCCCCCATGTTGGCATTCAGTCGCTGTCGGGTACAGAGTATGTGCCAGTCCGTCTTCTGAGAGGAGCTGACAATGAGCACTGTGAGGGAGATGAGGGGACCTTGAGTGTCTACAGGGCTCCAGAACTGACACTCAAGGTGCATTGTGGGAAGACTTGAACAAACAGAGCCCTGGAGTTTTAGTGCTCAGTGTTGAAAAGAATCAATGCTAATACTGACTTAGACCTATGCGGATATTGAATTATACAATGTCTAATAATATTGAACATGCACAATATTGTAAATAACTATTTAGCATTTATGTTTAAAGTGCCATTTAAGATTGTTGCGTTTGGAGTGGTGCAAGACTTAATAGGCTATTTATTTTCAAACAATAACATTTTTGCATGATAATCTGCCTGGCCTACAACATGCACAAGATACAGTACATATTGAAAATGTTCTCATTGTTTAAAGGCCCTGTGCTTTTGTAACACTGTGCAATGAGGCTTCATTTAACATCAGTTCATTTAACCACACTAACAATGAAAAAAAAAACCATTTGACTTTAGTCTTAACTGATCTGTTAATTTGCAATAAATATTGTGATTAATTAGCATTTTTTATTATTGAGAACTAATAAATGTGTTTTTTCTCTGTGTTGATTTTAATTAATTAACTTTACATTCATGTTTACTATTAAGACCTTAATGTAAAGTGTTACCTATTGCACTTTACCATCGCTGGCCACTATATAAGGTACAGCTGTCTAACTGGTTCTTTATGCAATTTTCTAATCAGCCAATCACATGGCAGCAACTCAATGCATTTAGGCATGTAGACATGGTCAAGACAATCTGCTGCAGTTCAAACCGAGCATAAGAATGGGGGGAAAAGGCCCACACAGGCTTATTATTCTCTTTATTCTCTATTTCAACCAGGGCATGCTCATCCCAAGACCCTCAGACCACGCAGCGCCACTGATTCGATCCAAGACCAGCGACGAGATGATCCCAAGGTTTCCATATCTTGGACCAGGCCATATCCTGGCTACTGTGGTGGTCATTGAGGAGTGGAGAGCATAAGAAGCTCCTGTGAATTCCCTGAGGTCCAGCTTCCAGCCTCCAGCACTTGGACTGCAGCTCTGCACAAAACGTTTGGCCAGTCAAGAAATGGTCGTGCCCATCTAAGCCTGGTTCTCTCAAAGTTTTTTTTTTTTTCACTTTCGCCAATTGGTGAAGTTTTTTCCTCGCCGCTGCCGCCACTAGCTTGCATGGTTTGGGATCTGTGGAGCTGCGCATCGATAGATTGCTCTTCAGTGTTTGGACTCTCAGTAGTGATTATTAAACCACACTGAACTGAACTAAGCACTGGACTGAACTTAAACTTTGAAAAATGAACAACACTATTTTAATTTACTATGATCTTTTATGTGAAGCTGCTTTGACACAATCTACATTGTAAAAGTGCTATACAAATAAAGGTGAATTGAATTTAATTGAATATAAGTGACTTAGAACATGGCATCGTTCTTGGTGCCAGACGGGCTGGTCTGAGTATTTCAGAAACTGCTGATCTACTGGGATTTCACACACAACCATCTCTAGGGTTTACAGAGAATGGTCCAAAAAAGAAAAAAAAATATCCAGTGAGCTGCAGTTCTGTGGGCGCAAATTCCTTGTTGATGCCAGAGGTCAGAGAAAAATGGCCAGACTGTTTTGAGCTGATAGAAATGCAACAATAACTCAAATAACCACTCGTTACAGTCGAGGTATGCAGAAGAGCATCTCTAAATGAACAACACATCCAACCTTGAAGAACATGGACTACAGCAGGAGAATACCACACCGGGTGCCATTCCTGTCAGCTAAAAACAGGAAACTGAGGCTACAATTACCACAGTTTCACCAAAATTGGACAATAGAAGATTGGAAAAATGAGTCTCAATTTCCGTTGAAACATTTGAATGGTAGGGCCAGAATTTGGTGTCAACATGAAAGCATAGATCCATCCTGCCTTGTATCAACAGTTCAGGCTAGTGGTGGTGGTGTAATGATGTGGGGGATATTTTCTTGGCACATTTTAGGCCCATTAGTACCAACTGAGTATAATATCAATGCCACAGCCTACAAGTATTGTTGTTAACCATGTCCATCACTTTATGACCACAGTGTACCTGGCTACTTCCAGCAGAATAACACACCATGTTCTAAAGCATGAATCATCTCAGATTGGTTACTTGAACATGACAATGAGTTCACTGTACTCAAATGGCCTCCACAGTCACCACATTTAAATCCAATAGAGCACCTTTGGGATGTGGTGGAGTGCGAGATTCACATCATGGATGTGCAGCCGACAAATCTCCAGCAGCTGCGTGATGCTACACAACTAGAAAGACCAAGAAGAGAACAAAATGAAAAATAACAAACAAAAGAAAGTCAAAACAACAAAAACTGGCAATTTATGGGTTGTTAAGCATCTAATTGTATTTGGTTTAGGGTATAGATAGACTTTATTTTCATTGTGTTCTCTGTTATTAGTAGTATATCAGTAATTAGAATAAACAATGCATTATATGATGTACTGAAATGCAAAACTAATAATATTTTTATTCTGAATTACTGTAATGTTTAAAATTTGTAACTAATTCTTACAATAACAGTTATTGAGCAGCTATTGAGCTTATCCTCTTTTAATTACAGTTTTACATGAGAAAAAAATTACAATATTTTTCTTAATATAATTCTCTATATTATTCCCCAGTTTCTATTTATCGAAAGAAGATTATTTTAACACATTTCTAAACTTAATAGTTTTAAGAAATTATTTCGAATAAATGATTTATTTTATATTTGCCATGATGACAGTGCATACTATTGTCTAGATATTTTTCAAGACACTACTATTCAGCTTAAAGTGACATTTAAAGGCTTAATTAGGTAAATTGGGTTAATTTGGCAAGTTACAGTAATGAGTTAATTAGAATTAGTCATTGTATAACAATGGTTTGTTCCGTAGAAAATTGAAAAAATATATATTCTTTAAGGGGGCTGATAATATTGCAAAATTAAAGCTTCTTTTATTCTAGCTGAAATATAACAAATAAGACTTTTCCAGAATAAAAATATTATAGGAAATACTGTGGAAAAAACCTTACTCTGTTAGGTATAATTTGAGAAATATTTTTAAAAAAAAGAAAATTCACAGGATTTGAAAATATATAGAGTTTATGTAAAATATTTAAAATACTCTTACTTAACCATACTTACTGAAACCAGATACACCTAATGAATGAATAAACAAACAAAATTGGAAATCAGTTGACATTTTGCACGATCTATAAAAGTGTGTATCTGCCATAATTGTGAGCCCTTCGAAGATGCTTTCTGAATGCAGGCGCCTCACTTCATCTCCTCAATGACTACATAACAGGCGGCTCACTCCCGGACCGTGACGTCAGAGGTGATGCACAAGGGTCTTACAAAGAGACTGCAATTGATCCAGCAAACTTACCCCTGCAGTGCCGCTCAGAGGAGCATAAAAACACAAGTTATAGCACGAGCAGCGAAAACTCCATCTCTGTCCAGTAAATACATAACGTGCAACACCCAGGACGTCAGTGTACCAAAAGTTATTGCGTAAAGTCTGACAGTGAAAGCAGCTTCATCCTAATGATGCAATAAAATACATCCACACCCGTCTAACAGCGCTGACCTACATCGGATGCTATAAACAGGCTATTTATTTTACTAAACCCAATTCATTAATGATCTGCCTTGTGATAGGCTATCTATGATTTGAACATTTTACAATGCACATGAAGCACGTCCTGTAAGATTTAATAACACGCTTTAAATGACTGTGAAAAGCGTTGAACAAAAATGACTGAGACTAACCTGAAGGAAATGGGACGGCGCTCCGCTACTTGGGACTGGATTTCTTTCTTCTGCTCCTCTCAAACGCTGCCAGCAGTCATTTCAAGGCTTGCTTTCGTCAGTGAAGGTTGCGCGTGTGTAACCGCGTCGGTCAGTGTGAGTGTGAGTGTAAACCTATGGTGTAAACCGGTCAAACAAATATTCCGCAGCCGAGGAAACAGCGCTGTTTGTGGGGCGCGGAGGCTGGACAGCGCCAGTGCTGAATTCTGGAGTGTAACTTCGCTCCGGAAACCAAGTAGCCCGTGGAAATAAACACAGCCCGGGTAAAAGTTGTGTGTGCTGATTCGGCTGACGAGCCCACAGACTCGAGAGGGTCCAGTGTTTCTGCCAGGCTCTTCGGGGCACTTATTTTCAGCCCGCACACGGAGGCGTTTCATTGGTCTGTTCAAATGACGTTGGCACCGGGATATGAGATGATGAGCCAATATGGATGCAAAAGATGCTTGTAAAGAAATTAATACATACACTGCATTTTTGATTTCGTTTGTAATCATATTATTATTATTATTATTATTATTATTATTATTATTATTATTATTATTATTATTATTATTATTATTATTCAGAACTAATATCTAAATAATACTTAACAAGCACCATTTACATTTTTTGTTTTGGGGTTAATTTAACTAAAAATAAATATTAATTTGATGGATTACTTCATTTTAGTTCATTTAACACTCTTATGCCTAACTGCAGAGAAGTTGTGTTAAGGGACATTCTATCAGAAATGCACATTATCTCTCCCCAAAATAAAAAACATTAATATATTGAATAAAAAAAGTATTTCATCCTAAAAATTTCTAAAATGCACTGATGGTTGATTTCTGTGAGTTGTTCTATAAAGTAGCATGTCATTCATTTTTTTTTTCTTTATTAAAACACTTTACAATTAGCCCCAAAGTCATTGTCCTTGTCCTCGGCCCAATTGAACCTACAGCTTTAACATATTTGTTACGTTAAAAACTGTTATTTAGAAAAAATAAATAGCAAGTTTAAGTTGTTATTAGTCACATCAATTGATTAAAAACATCAATCAATCAACTTTTAGTTATAGCACTTTACTACAACCAAGGTGGACCAAAGTGCTTTACACAAGTAAAAGCAAATTATACAACACAACAGGTAAGTAGACGATGCAAAACAGTACAAAAATATCAATAAAATTCAACAAACCTCAAAAAATAACGAAGTGTCAGTGCTATGCATTAAAAAGCCAGTTTAAACAAGCTATGCACTCTCACATTCACACTCACTCAAACGCTAAGGTCTTTTGTTTGATTTTATTCTTGTAAATAGTATTATTAATGATACGTTTTTACATTAAAGTTAATTGTTATGAGTTGTTATGAACTACAAGTCCTGTCATGCAATACACTCGCACACACCTGCGCCAAGTCTCCATTAAATAGACTCACACAGCAAAAGCTGCTCATGGACTGATTACACTACTCATACGGCTCACTTTGAAACTCTTATTGCTGAGTCTTGTTATACTGTTAGTAATTATTGTGATGCGCTTTCCTTGCCTTGCTTTGCCATGTTTTTGACCCTCACATTTGTTTCTTTTTGTTTTCTGCTGCCTGCATGTACTGACCATTCGCCTGTTTATTGACCACAACTCTGGATTGCCCGTATGCATCTGTTTGCTCCTGTGTTGACTGTTGCTTGCCTGACCTAATAAAACCTGCATTTGGATCAGCACTCCTTATGTCCCGTTCACATTACAAATTTTTATTACATACGTGAAGTTTACAATTTAAGAGATGTAACTGATCACGATAAACATCTAATTACTATTTAAGCTAACATTATTTAATTTGCAAAGCAATTATGTCCAATGAAGTCATTCAATTACCCTGTACTGTAAAATAAATATTAAGCACATATTAATCTAACACATAATTATCATGAAGAAAATTAATATAAGACTTTTCTAAATGAAACTTAAATAATTCATGATCCAAAGACCCCAATGTGCCACATTCCATTCTTGTAAATCAGGCAGCAACAATCAGCACCATTAGTTTCTTTTTAAATCAATAAATGTTTCCAAACATCATCATCAAGACCTCAAATGCCTATAGACGTGTGGATGTGATCCTGCATATGCAGTTCTGTTCAACACTTCCCAGTATGTGGTCCCAGTGCATGCTGGGTCAAATGGAGACACATTCATAATTAATGCTGAGGTAAATGCACATTGAACAATGGTTCCCCGAGGGAGCTCTACACCTTACTGTCAAAACGGAAATGAAGGAGAAGATTGTGTTCTTATAAATTGGACCCTGTAGCGAGTCCAAACTCATGTTCAGATGAATATTGCTTTATTGATATAAAAGGTGATGTGGAAAGGCTAATGATGCTGATGAGGCTTTGTGTTGTGGTATTTAAGATGATAATTAAATGGGATTTGAAGTTGCTGTTGTGGCAAAAAAAAACAAAAAAAAAAACAATAATGATTTCTTAGTTGATGGAATATTCTGAGATCGATAAAAGTTCTGCTTAGACAACGGCATTCATGATGATTTTCTTAACCAAAAAAGGTGATAAAATGAAGCACATTTTATTTGAAAAGTTTATTTAAAGGAAGGATTTAATATGGTGTTCATAATGTTTATAAGCACTTAGGTGAATTATTATGGTAAAATATGGATTATTTAGGAGTTTTTTTTTACAAAATTGCTGCTAATTGTCCAATAGCAGACTTTTATATTGATGAAGCACATTTATGTGCTATGCAACACCCTTAATATAAATATTGTGTTAATTCAGTTTATGCATGTTTTGTTTATGTTGATATATTATAATTTTAAATTGTTTATTCCGGTGTATTAATAATAATAGTTTTAATTATGTTATGGATTTTCCTAAAATCTGTAATTTATTACATTATCATAAACATCATTTGCTTCAATTCTTTTGTTTTGCTGTGAAAATACACCTTAAAGTTTTATTTATTTCAAGAGCCGCTGGACTTACAAAATCCTGCAAGGACTGTATTACAAGGTCAGATCAAGATGTTCCAGTTTTTCCCTACAGTTATTTAGAAAGAAATAGAATAGAAACTCAAAAAAGGATTGATAGTGTTATAGGAGGTTAAACCATAGATAGATCTAACGAAAGGTCTAACCTATTAGAGCAGCTTTTTTTAATAAAGTTTTAGAGGGCTAGATAATTTTTACAAATATTTTTTTTATAATCAATGTTATGAATTGTTTTGAATTTTTACTCCTGTAATGCTGTTGTGTTATATTTTTTAAAAACTCAGTAGTAAGTTGACAGATTTTGTTCTGTCAAATAAGTGAATGGTTTTATATTGTTGATCCCTGTTGCCTTATAAATACTTCTTGAGTCATAGTACAGTTACTTACCCTTAAAAATTCATTCATAGTGAAAACTATGTAAAACACTATTTTTCCTAGCAACAATTTTCTTAATAATGTAAAACCATTCACTTATTTGGAAAAAAACTAAATGTGTTAACTTACTTTATACAATAACATAGCAAACTGCATCTTTATAAATTCAATCCTGACTGACTACTTCAACATGTGCTTTGAAAAATGAAAGACATCACTAGTACATATTAATAACTCTATTATAAATGTACCTATAACTGTCATTATTATATAATTGTTTTGTTTGTTGAGTCATCATTGATATATTCATTGGGATTGTTATGATTGATTATAAATAATTATAAAAAGTTACAATTCATTACAAGCAAGGGTTTCATAGAAAGTGTTACTGTACATTCTAGTTAAAAGTAAAAATAAATAAATAAATAAATAAAACAAACAAAATATGCAAAGGAATTTTTGCACCCTTATCTTGAATTTATAGTGCATTTCAACCACCAGCCCTTATTAAAATCCCACTCTGTGTGGCAGTGAGATCTTTTGACCCATCAGCTTCTTGTCATTTTTATGGCTGATTTTGGGGTTAAAGGGGTATGTGTGTTGTCATGGCAGCAGAATTAAAATAATTAAAGAGCCCCTATTTTGCATAATAAAAGGTCATATTTTGGTTTTGAGGGCCTCCAACAACAGGCTGATATGCATGAGGTCAAAAAGCACCTTCATTGTCTTATAATATACATTTATTTTTAACTAACTATTGTAAACACTGCCATATGATTTTTTTCCAAACCCCTCCTTTGCGTAAGTCTATAACTGCTGGGATTGGTCCGATGAACTAGTCTGTTGTGATTGATTGACTGGGTTCAGAGCGAAACTAAAATAAATGCCCACTATGGCTATGAAGTAGCACAGAGTATGTGAGAGCTCAATGCAGAAATACAATAAAGTAGTGCAGTTAAACACCAGCATAGAAAAATATTTAAATGGGTAAAGGAAGAAGCATGTGTTGCGTTTTCAACTTGGTTTTGGACGTACAGTAGTATGTGAACAGCCCCATAAAGATTTAACCAGAGAGATACAGTACAAGCACTGACCTATAATAGATAAGTGATTACAAGCCATGTGGAGCAATTATAGCTTACAACACACAAAAAAATATGTTGCATACAGTTTTAATTACTCTGACAAGTTATTATCCAGAGGAAGAAGAAACTGGTCCAAATTAACTTAAACAGTTACTGATAAAGTCCCTGTCAAAGTCTGACAAAGTCACATACATAATAGTCTCTACTGCTTCTTCCTTAAATAGCAAACGGCCGACGAGTCCCGCATTACAGAGTAGGTCATTTTATCAGGAAATTAACAGGAACAAACAGCACTAGGCTGGCTATACTGTGGTGTTGTTGTGAAAATAAACTTTACCCGATTATTTCCTGCAGCCGAATCTCCATCTGTCAGTTATCATCATCTTCATGTCATGATCAGTCCTGTGATCCCAGGGCTCTGTTAGTGTCTGAAGGGAAAGGCACGTTCACGTTTTGCCGGATTCGGCACTTCATATTTGGTAATGTACCACATTGACATCGACACGTTCAAGCAAAAGATCTGAACCAAATACGATTCATTTATTCGACTCTTAGTCGACTATTTTGTTAAAGAATCAATATTTTTTTAAAAATAGGGTGCACTTTCAGATTTTACCCTCAGCTGGATGTTTTCATTCACTTAGTGCTGTAACACACTGTATGGAAGGCCATTTTCAAAACCCATAATAGGGACTCTTTAATATATGCTATTTTTAGGGAGTGGTTACATTCATCAGTGCTCTGCAAAATGTCAAATACAAAGTCCATGTTGCGCCCACGTCATGTTGAAATTACTGTATTGGATTTTGTACACGAAAAGTTGTTGAAACTTCACCAAAAAAGTGTAAGTTATTTTTACTATAATCTTGCTAAGAGTGTTATACATCAAGTTTTAAAGGTGTAACCCAAAT